TTTTTTTTTTTTTTTTTTGTCAAAAAATTGGTTCCTTTTATCGAAGTTTTTGATTATGCACTTTCACTTTTTTTTTTTTAAAAGAAAAAAATATTAGAATAATTTATCGTTTTCAAGACTTGTACTTTTGTTTTGAATTTAGAAGTTCTATAAGTAAATAATAAAAATGATCGTTGAAAAGTTTTTATGAAAAAAGGAATTTCAAGAAAAAATAAATTGAATAACTTGTTATAAATTGGAAGGTTACCACTATGTACAACTAAATAAAATTTTTTTTTTTTAGTAGTTCTTTATATATTTTTAATATTTAGAAGAAAAAAAAGGGGGGAAGAAAGTGCACAAAAAAGTTTCATGTTAATTTTATTTATGTAAGATGTCGATTTGTAGCTTTAAGAAGTTATAAATTAGATAACTTGTGTAAATTGTGTAAAACTCTTTATAAGCAGGAATAGTAGGGATAACACCCGCGCGCAGAAACCGTGCCTCTTTTCAGGGGGAACGTTTGCTGTACTTTCTTTGCATGAGCCTGAACGACTTCCGAATGTTCCTATATATGATGTTTCAATTAAATCAGGATTTGGATAAATTAATTATTGTGTATGTGAATTTATTTCAATCCTCACATCATTTACCGCATATTACTGCATATTTAATGAAATACAGTTAGGGATTGTCACATGTTGCGCAACAATTACGACATATTTGATAAAAAATCCTGTTGTGCAACGATAAAAATTAATATTCATTACTGTATATTCACATGATAAAATTTTTTTTCATTATGATAATTAAATTCCAATTTCGTAAAAATATACTCAAGCCGTTAATAATAATTTATTATTTATTATTTATTAATTTTTTTAAACTATTAATATATTATTTATTTTTAATATAAAATTATATAAATTTTTTAAGAAATTTTATTAGGTAATAATTTTCTTATTATAAAATGTTTAGTTAAAAATATTCGACCTTTTTTTTGTTAATATTCTTTTCTTTTTCTTTATAAATTAAATAAATTAATAAATATCTTTAATAGAATATTTAAATAAAAATAATAATATTATTATAAAATAGAGCATGTGAAAAAAATATTTTAATAAAAAATTTTAAGAACTCATAGTAACTTAATATCTGTTTTGTGTATACAGATACAGAATATCTACAGATATTATATATAAATAAATAAATGAATAAATAAACAAACAAATAAATAGTTTATACTTAATGGCAATAACTTTACTTGTTAGTATTTGGGTAAAAAATTAATTTACATATAAAGTATTTCATTTTATTATTTTATTAGAAATCGGAAATCTAACGAATTAGTGTGTCGCATGTAAGAATGTTACTGTACAATGTATATATATATATAGGCGTTAAACGTAGAATACATTTATTTAATACTCATAAATCATAATTCATAAATGTTTTTTATTTGACCTTTTAAAATTATAATAATTTTTTTATGTGGACGTTCGTCGACTGTCTGTTTATATCGAACGTATCATATTCTAATCGTCAAAATACGTGCATTAACCGTGATGGTAAATAACGCCTTCTTAACAAAATTAAATAAAAGTTCTTTAAATTCCTAACAAACTTGGCGCTGATTTATAACATAATTCACGATGAAGAAATTCCACTTAAGCCCGTGGGTTAAGTTTTCTTTTGTAATGTGTAAGTTTCGTCTTCTGTAAAAAATTTATTAAATTAATTTATGCGGAATTTATTTCTGAATTTGAGAATTCAACTTCAATAATGAAAAATTATTTAACTCCACGAGTTTTTATTCGTCATTATATGAATTATATAATTTATACTAACAAATTTATATTAACTATCTGTATAATATATAATATCTTCATGATCTATTAATAAAAAATCTTATTTTAATGTATAAGAATAATTTTAAGTTTAATATGATCTTTATATACTTCTTTTTTATAGATTTCGGACCGGAACGTCGAAATGGTAAGTTTCGCAAGGGCCAATTTCTCAATATTATTATATTGCGTATTTTTAATTTATTATTACGAGTTCCTTTGAAATTAACTAACATATTATTTGTTAATAAATAGGGACGATAAATATTTTATTCCGTCTTTATATAAACAAATTATTTCTCGTTAAATTTGATGTGAATCAAGATCGAAAATCACTTAAGTGTTATTATAATTGTTAATTTTATTGTAAAATTATTAAAATTATTCTTTTTCGTCATAAAAGTTCTCAAGGCTATCATTATAATTTTAACTTTGATGGAGTCTGGAATATTCGAAGTTTAATAAATTCTTATAAAAAAAAAGTATAATATGAATAATTTTATAATTTTACAACATACTGTAAATCATAACATAATAGCATATTCTGCAAACTCAATATTTTTTTCAATGTAAAAATAATGATATGACATGACCTATTTTGTTTATTTTGGATATCTTACAATCTTCAATATAAAAAAAATTTTACCTAATGAGTCTTTTATCGTGGTAGTCGCGATATATTTAATAGTTTAATTCTAGACCATTTAAAAATAAACGTAGAGATGAGCTTTAAATCGATCATCACCACGAGTATCTTTTTATCAATTCAATTTGGATAATTTTGGTATAATAGTCATATAATATTAGTAAAATTTAAAACACTAGATATATTCGTTAATTATTTATCATTCTATCCCTCATTAATTTGGGTCATCGTTAATAAATTTTTATAGATCGACGCCGTCTAAAAGAAACTTTAAAAATTAGACACAATCTCTACGTAATGAGAACGGCGCTATCTACAGTATTAAATCCTTTTGACAAACCCTTTTAAATGGCGCTGACGATTATTATTTGGTTGGAAAAGATCAAATTACTAAAGAATTTTATGCACATTTAAATATTTTACGTGCACGTTCTCACTATTTTAAGTTTTTTTTTAGATATATTTATACCGGAGAACTTTTGACGATACAATTAGATGATCTCGTCTGATGAATTAGTATTATCTTGAAAACCACAAGAAACTAAAAGATTTTTGTTTTTAATCAGAACAAAACAATTCATCATTTATTAAAATCAATTTATCACTTATTAAAATAAAGATATGCTCCATTTCTTACTTAAACGATATGACTTTCGTATTTCACATGATGCATAAGGAATTCTCTGGTTAAATGGAATAAAGTAAACACTAGAATTAGACAACTAGGATGATTGGACTGGCAAAAACTATGAGGATTTAAAGAATGTTTTAAGTGATATTATTTTCTTTATTAAACTAAAGGAAATTAATTCCGAAGTCGTTCATCATAAAATATGACTTAATATATTAATAATTAAAGTAATATTTATGAAGAATCTACCCTATGAAAAAAAAAAATTTCTTTAAAATTTTCCAAAGATATATTTAAATTTTAAAATATACTTAAAATATACTAAAAAGATTTTGAAATACTCTTAAAATTTGCAACTTTAAGTTTATTTTGAGTATATCTTAAGTATATTTTTTCATGATAGAGCCATAACATATTACTTAATTAGACAACTTACATTGATTAAATCAAAACTTGTTAATGTAATTATTAATCTGATTCATATGATTTTGGAGAAAGGAAAAAGGAATCAACCATGCAAATTTATTGTAGTGGTCACGATGGAATTATTAATAAATCATTTAAAAAATGCTCTCTTGAATGAATCATTTACATTTTTCTTTAATAGGAAGATAAATAATTTCGCTAATGATAATTGCAAAGTACACGCCAAAATATTCAAATGCTCTAAAAAATAATAAAAATTTTATATCCAAAAATAAGCATGAAAAAGAAAGTAATAGAATTATTTCACCATTTATTTCACTTATTTGTAGCCAAGAAGAATGAAATATTTATATTTACTAAGTCAAATATCAATTTTTTGAGTTAATTCTTGATTGCATTATCATATCTTATGATTATTAAAACTTTTAATTTAACGTAAATTTTGCAATTTTCTTCTATATAGCTGAGCTTTTCATAACGGTGTTATCGAGTTTTCATTTATATCTGATCAGTGATGTTTTAAGATTATTTGATTGAAGGAGGGTCAACCTCAACCTGGATTAAACAAAATTTGTTGTTTATTTTTCGCTCTGTATTTAAACTTTGAAAAATATAAGAACTAAAAGATTTTTGTTTTTGAAATAGTTTTCGCAAGATCATACAGTATGTATTTTAAATATTGGATTAATATCTTGCTGGATAAAATCCGTATTTTGCAAGTTGAGAATGGGAAATCATTGAAGAATAAAAATAAACAGGATGAGTTGAATTGCTAAATTTATGAGGATTTAAAGAATTTGTTAAGCAATTTTATTCCTCTTTATTATATTCCTAGAAATCAATTCTGAAGACTTTTATAATAAAGTTAAGATGAGATGAAGTAGTAAGTTTGGATTAATTAAGATTCATGAATCAAGTAAAATCTTTATTGTCTATAGTTCTCATAGTTTTAACTCAAATAGAAATAATCTTACAAATATTTATGATTGTTACGAACGTGACATTATTCTTGCTTTCATTTAAAGATAGTGAAGATACTCAAGATATGAAAGTGAAATGTCTATTTTATTCTAGATATTATAAATACGTTAAGGAAATTACACAAAATTACATGATAACGTTACGACTGCAATATCCATAAGTGTATTATATTATTGAAGAAATTGAAGCATTTGCTATAGATAATCTAGGAAAACATGACTATAACATTTGACAATTTTTACCTAAATGTGATTTATCTTATTAAAGTCAATGGAGGTATAGCAACCAAAGATTTTATCTGATTCACGACTTAGTCAGAGGCAAAGGACCTACAATATCCGTTCCTATCCAGTCCCTATAAAAAAAAAATGTCCAGTTTTTGTTCAGAAATCGTCCGCCTATATTTTCCGGACAAAAACAGGATCTATAAACATCCGGAATATTGCAATATTCCGGACATTCATAAATAAGGAATTTGTCCGGTTTTTGCCATATATTTGTCCGTCATTTGTCCAAATTTTGATTATTCATAAATAAGTAATTTGCTTATATGATTTACTTTATAGTTTTTTTAGCAGTATTATTTATTTATTCAAATTAAAAGCATAACAATAAAAATCATAGACTATTTATTATATTATAAAAAAAATAACTTTATTATAAATTAATCAATTAATACGATATGCCTCCACTAATATTATAATCTACTTTCATTAAAATTAAGATACAAGTAATTTTAACCTTGCTGAATAATTTTACTTAAGCATAAAAGAGTAGTTTCATTTGAATAAAGTGATGAACTTACGTTCTAAAGTTGGAAAATAGAAAAGTAAAATTTAAAAATTAGTATTCAATTAAAAAATGCAAGCAACTTACTCTATGAATATTGTACCTACACTTATGAAATCTAAATTACAAGTAATTTCGACCTCATTGAACAACTTTACTTAAGCACAAAAGGGTAATTTCTTTTGGTGAAAGTGGTGAAATTACACCCTGAAGTTTAAAACAGAAAAACGAAAATTTTGAAAACCAGTACTATTATAAAAAATCATGATTTCCTCTATAATTATCATACCTATGCAGTATAATTTAACATTGCTGGACAACTTTGCTTCATAAAAGATAGCTTCGTTTGGCCAAAGTGGTGAGATTATGCGTGAAATTACGCTTCAAAACTAGAAAATAAAAATACAAAAGTAAAAAGAAGAAATTAAGGTACTATATATTATATAAAATATTATAACTTTACAAGAACAAGTAATAAAAACTGAGTTAAAAGAGTTTATTATGTGTTAGTTTGTACTTTTGAAAAAAAGGGAAAAAAGGGGGAAAAGATTTTTTTACAGCTATCACGTAAACAATAAACAAATAAACAAAAAATGTAATCACGTGATATCAGTGACGATCATTTGAATTTTGATCTTAATAAAATTAATGTTTATGTAAAGCGAAAAAATCAACTGCACGTGGTATAGTAATTCTATAAAATTAATTTTTTTATTGTTCAACCATTAATTATTGAATATAGTAGAGGAAAAAGTTGTGAGATATTTTGCTGTAACTGTCAGTTATATACACTACATTCTCGTTAAATATGGTGGATGATCAAAAAAATTCTGGATATTTATTTTATAGACGAATTCCGGACGATCAAAAATATCAAATTCCGGATGATCAAAATTCCTTGGACATTTTCCAGACATATTCTGTACATTTAAAAAATTCCGGACATTTTTTTTGGGCAAATTCCAGATGATCAAAAATTCTGGACATTTTTCTAGACAAATTCCGGACAATCAAACATTCAGAAAATTGGTTTTCGTCCTAAATCCTGCAATATCTGGACAATTTCCGGACATTTTCTGCTGGATGCACCCGGACATTTTTAGATACAATTTCCGGACATTTCTTTTTTATAGGGAGTCGTAAGGTTGCCCAACCTTGATTGCAGTATTGTCAAATAACACTGAAATGACATTGAAATGACATCAAATGATATTAAATTACGTCGATTTTACTATGAAAATGTATGAGAAATGACAAATGTCATTTGAAAAATGGGCAAATGACATGGCAATTTAACAACACTGCTTGATTGGGTGCAATGGTTCGGTCCTCATCTTCTTTGACAAGTATCGCACGATTGTGCATAATCTCCCATCTGAGGCCAAAAATATTTTCCTTCATTGCGCGGAAAGTTCATTAAATCACGAGTCTTAATTAAAACTAAACTTTCCCATAATTGTACTTGGTACCATACATCACGACTACCATGATAAATAAGATCGAGCTTTGTATATTGGATCGTCTTCAGTACGAATAAATATAATAAAGACCAATTTAATTCTTTTTTGTCAATCCAATTAATAATTACATTTATAAAAAGAATAAAATACAGATTATGCCGTTCAACTAAGTAATATTTTATAAGGTCACCATAAAGTTTATATTGGGATAATAATCTCATAAAAAGTATTTTAATGTATGCTTTAAATTATCATAATCTATGTTAGTCCACTCTTTTTATACTCCTATTCAGGTGCTTGTTTAATCACTTTTTTCAATATATGCATGAAAGTCATCTCGTTTAGGTATTAAAATAAAATAGGATATATAATCAAGTGACTAAAAATCATTTGAAGTGAGAAATGGTAGAGTAATTCTACATATGGATTTAAGACAATGATCTTGCAATTAGGTATATTGAATATATAATTCGAACGTAATTCTGCTGTAAACATTCAACTAATCCTTTAAGAAATCAATCGTCACATTGCTGATTTTCGATATAAATGTCAATTTGCGACAGACTATAATTCAGTCGCACGTGATGATAAACATATGGTTATTGCACGTGATCTGATCGACACGCAAATATTCTCGAAAATAGCAAAAGTAATTTTTGGTTTATTTATTGTTACATAATACGTAAAATACTGAAATTATCTGATTGGACGTGAAATTCTCTTGTATTCTGATTCTCTCCAACTCTAATAATGGTGTTATAATCTTCAGAATTTTGCATTAATGAAATGTCTTTCAAAGGATTTAGTGACGTTCAAACCATTCTTATTAAAATGAAATATATGAATATAAAAAGTAAATTAACGAAAAATTATGTAATTCATTTATTAAATGAATTGTCCAACTAAGTTAATTTGCCATATTTTTAACTTTATGGCTAAAAAGCACATAATCTAATTTAGTTCGTCATTTAAAGATTGTATCTTCAAATTTCAAATGAATATCCAACTGTAGGTTAGCTTAGATTTTGTCGATCATATAGCTGGTTCACGAAATAACAAATCCTATTTAACCAATTTTTTTTAAGATTGTCGATCTATTCGTAATTTGACCAAATATGAAACTTCATTTCTACATTTCGTAAATGATGATCCAAATTGGGCCATTACTTCTTTAAAAGAACATTTAGCCAAAATCAAAATGATTGCATGAAATAATTAGTATATTTAGTATATTGTACACCTGTAAAAACATAGTTACATGATTATATCGCTTAGCTTTTTTGACAAGTTGCGAACTGAATTTTTCGAAGTAATCATGATCCAAATCCGGTTAATTAGTTTAACTATTTAATAATAAGAATAACGAAAATTTACTTGTTCATTCATATACTTAAAAAATTCTATTTTATTATTTATTAATATTCAATAAAAATGACATTGAAATTTCATTCAAGTCTTTTAAAAGACATTTCCTCAATGTTGAATGCTGAAGACTATAACGTTATTATTCAAGTCGGAGAAGCAAACGATACAAAAAAATTTCATGCACATTCGAATATTTTAAGAGCTAGTTCTCAGTATTTTAAGGATATTATTCCGGCTGGTATTATTAAAAAGGATAGTATGTTTACAGTAATAAGACCACAAATTACTCCTTCTATCTTTGAAATTATTCTCAAGTATGTGGGTAATTTTTTTTTTTTTTACTTTTATGAATTTATTTTAACATTTATTTTTTGATAATCAAGATACATTTACACGGGAAAACTTGATTTGAGGAATCAATCTGGAGCGGATAATTTTAGATTAATGTTTGAATGTTATTATTTATTTCTTGATAAATTATTCGTATATGTACAATTTTATTTAATTGAACAACAAACACCTTGGATTCAACAAAATTTTGTTCTTATATTAAATTCTATATTCAACCTACCCAATTACAAAAAATTACAAGATCTTTGCATTGAATCCATATGTAGAAATCCTTTATCATTTCTCACTTCAAACGATTTTCAGTTACTTAATAAATATATTCTTTTGTACTTCCTTAAACAAGATGACTTTCATGGGAAGAATATTGAAGTGATTGTTTGGAATTCTTTGATTAAATGGGGCATAAAACAAACATATGGATTGGAGAATAAAAATAACCAGAAAGAGTGGACTGACATAGATTATGATAATTTAAAGAATACATTAAGTATTTTTATCCCATATATTAATTTTACCAGCATACTTTCTGAAGATTTTTATGATAAAGTTCGACCTTATGAAGTTATTATTCCAAGTGTTATTTATGATGAAATTTTGGCATACTACTTAATAGAACAACCTAAATTGTGTATTTACAATTCAAAGATTATTAATCCAAGATTTGTTAATGTAATTTCTAATTTGATTGATAAAAAACGATTGAGTTGTCCTTCAATATTTATTCGTACTGAAGATGATCCAATATACAGATTTAAACTTTTTAGTCGTTGTGGTCTTGATGGAGTTGATGAGGAGTTTTTTCAAGATAAGTATGAAGTAGCAAATCTAATTTTAGTTAAAACTCTGGAATCAGATAAAATATTTGCTGGATATTGTTCAGCCGGCATTGGGTCATTAAAAATTGAAAGTATTTGTGCTTATGATGATTATCGTAACTACTCACCATGTGATTTTGTTTTTTCATTTAAAAATGATAAAGAAAATCAAAATATAAAATTAAAATTAACTGATTCATATTTTGAAGATGGATCTGAAGCTTTGTATGGTTCTTCCTTATACGTAATAAGTGAGGGATTTTATAAACTTGACCCTAAAAATATGCTCAAACCTAAACCTAGGGTTTATACTAATGAAAAAATTGAAAAAATTGAAACATATGCTGTAGTCAAACCATTGAAGAATAATTTAAAAGATATGCTGTCTAAAATGGATAGCAATGTTAATGGAAATAGCGTTAATTATTAAAAGGAAACAGAAATGGATAAAAAAAATTCAAATGTCGCTTACTTTAAAAATCGGAAAGTAATTATAAAAATCAATCGGATAGCAATTATGAAAAAAAAAAATCAGATATAAGTTGTAAAAAAAAAATTATAAAAATAATCCATATAGCGATAATTGAAAATTATTAGATAGTGATTATGGTCATATAATTATACTAGGGATGCTTCTGATAATTGCATCTGTTGGTAGTTGATATGTTTGAATTTTTTTTTATTTGTTTATTTATTTGTTAAAAATAAAGTGTAAATGAAGGAGCAACAATATCTCTTATAATTAATGCTTAATGATTGCCATATCATTAGTTCAATGTGCAATATATACTAACTCATTTCAAAATGAAAAAAGAAATTATATATTGTTGACCGACTCAAATCCAGAAAGTTCATTATAAATTATAAAGACTCAAAACCTCAACACTCCAAGTTAGATACAAGCATTCTAATCTGTCCCATTTAAACTCAAAATTTACTGTATTGTGGAAAATTTATTAAGCATTATTACTGTTCCAAGACTTTGCTCTATGAAAGATAGAGAAAATATTAATACGTAATTCTTATCCATTTAGATGCTTTGCTGCCAAATTTGCTGCAATTTTGCTTATTTATTGAAGTTGATCTTATATATTTTTTGAGTCGATAAATTAAAAATAATAATTTATAATAAACAAGTAAACATTAAACATGGCAGAGAGCTTTATATATTAATAAAAGTAAAATTTTATTATGATTAGAAGATTAGAAGGATTAGAAGTTTTGAGATGAAATTAATTTATTAAATTTATCTTGCATTTTTTGATGGGACTGACATCAACAATAGATATTGGCCTACAAAAATACATTAAAACTTCAATTTTTTTCACATATTACAAAAAAAAATTTTGTGTATATTAATTAACCAAAAAACAAAATTATGAAGTTTAATATTGAGTGTGTCCACCTTTAGTTTTAATTACTGCTTTAATGTGTTTCAGTACACTTAAAATTGGATAATAATGTTCCTATGCTAATGTTTCTCCATTTCTCTTATTATATCACATTCTTGTTTATAATTAGGTAAGGTTGCTTGATGGTCCAAATAGTTCCACAAGTTCCCTCTCAATCGGATAGAGATCAGCTACCAATCTAGAATTGGGATGCACTATAGGAAAGTGTATAACATGATGCTCCATCTTGCTGAAAGATAGAATCAGGATAATTATTAACCTATGGTATAAAATAGTTAACCAAAAAATAAAGAAAACATAACTGGGGAAAAAATGGATTCTGTTATTATTAGTAGAATGCCAAAGTTGTGCCAGTATTATAGTTAAAAAAAACTGAGTTAAAAGTATTTTAATAGTTAAATTATACAGTCTGATCTCGATGTGAATAACGTATACCGAATTTTTGTTGAATTACCGCTTATTATTATTATAAAACAAAAATTTTTTGATATACCGAACTTAGTCACATGATTTTCCAATTTCGCCTGAAATTAATTAATTTCGGCCAGAATTAGAACCATATCGACTGATTGGAAAAATCAAGCCAATCAATATTTAAGCTCAGTTGATGGGTTCATTATAACTGATAGGTTACTTATTGTCATTAGCATATAAAATTATGAGGGGCTTTTCTGATCAGCCGATATGCCACTTAATTTTTGCCTAGCTAAATTAATTGATGCCAAAACATCTTAATTCTGGCCGAAATTGGGATATTAATCACGTGATTCTCTGGATATGAACTCTTCCTAAAAAAAACTTTAGGGTTTCGGTAAATAAAAAAAATTTTCTTTACCTATATACCGAACTTTTACTCCCAAACCGTAGGTTCTGTATATCGAGATTTGACCGTAACATTAAATTATTTTTTTATTATTAAATCAATAAATACATTAAATTAAAACGCAATTTATTTTAAATTTCCAAATACAGTACAAAATAAGAAAAAAATATTTTATGAAGAAATTAACATTTCATTGTCATTTATGAAGTGTACAAGAGCTTGACTTATTATTCAATTTAACGAATATTTAAGAAATTAATTATATATGTATTAGCTTTCCACAATTAAATTTTCAAGAGATAATATTCTTAGAAAGCAATAATATAATTTGATTTAAAAAACATTTAAATTGAAATCAATAATAATAATTTTTTAAAGTTGTTGATATTTAGAACATATCAAAGTTTGGTAGGTTGGGCACAATTAAATTAATAAAGTCTATCATGATCTTTTATTTATATCAAATTGTAAGTCAAAAGTGCGTTATTATTTGGCGGCCCTGTAGCATTGGATTGGTCAGTTTTTATTTGCTAATTTTTATTATTTAGAACTCGCATCTGTATGATTATACTGTATATATTCATCTTGTTAAACTTGATGTACTGCTCTAACAAATATGCTCTTATAAACGAAGTTACGAAGTTATTTGTTGCATTTAACATAAAATACCCGCCAAAAATCAACCTCCAATATATAGATAAGATTTGTTCGATTTGGGCAGTCTAAAAAAAATATGAACCGTCTTTTATATATGAATATTAATTCTCAATCAAAAAAATTCATAAAGTTAGTAACTCTGATATAGTGACCTCACTATATTGTATTACATGATATTAATTGCTATTTACTTCAGGTGATTTCAATAAATACCGGAAAACGGGAACTTATTATTGTCATTGAGTTTTCAGATTTAATTCGTTTTTCAAAGTTGTTGAGGATATTTTTAATTGTTACGGTAGCATATTTTGTTTTGTGATAATATGCAAATTAATATCGACTAACTATAATAGTACATTTAAAAAATGTAGTGAATCGACCCTAATTTTAGAAGCTTTATTTTATTTTTGTGATACGATAATTTTGGGCTTGATTTTAAAATAAATAATAATTGATGAACACCATATATAAACTATTTATTAAATCTATAAATCCATAAAGCATTCTTGGAATTTTCGGTTGTTATAGAATTCTAAAAAGAGCATTCGATATTTATCATGTTACTTTTATTAAAATCAAGTCGGTTATTTCTTTGTTACAAAATTCCATGTAAATTCCGTGTAACCATTCTTAGAATTCCATAGAAAAACTTAGTTATCCATTTCTAGTTGATCAAACATATTGTTAAAACTATAAATATGACTTGAATTTTCTATAATTTCCTATAAAATAATAAAATGGAACTTACAAATACAAATGATGAAAATTCTTTTGATCCAACACCAAGACTAAAATCTAGCCCTATACCAATTAATTTTGTTCCCTTTAATATATGGGAAAAAAAATGTTTTAATTGTGGAGAATATTACATTAAAACGCATTATCATGATCAAAATTATTGCAAAAAATGTTTATTGAATTATCTAACTAATATAACTGATAATAATATATACTTGGACGTATATGTATTCACAAGGAACTTAGAATGTAATGAACATGAGATAAGTAGGTTAAAGGAACCACAAAATATTCAAGAATGCTGCAAAAATTGTTTGGACATATTATATTTTAAATAAATACTTGATGAAGAATATGGTGTGAATATTATGGATGTTTTAGACAGTTACAAAATTGCACGTGATAATATTTTAGAAAGTGAAAAATATTGTAGATTATGTGGAAAATTATATCAAGGAAATGATAATATGTTAAAATTCAAGTTATGCTCAGATTATTATCTAATTTCTTCTGGATATGTAGAATCGGCCTTGACTAAAAAGCCTAATATTCCAACTATTTATTTACCATGGTGGTATATTAAATCTTCTTGTGGTGCTTGCAACGAATCCTTAATATTTACATTCGGACTGTCAAAAATATTGTAAGAATTGTTTTATATTTTATACTGGATGTAGATATTGTTTAACAACAAATGTTATTTTTGGACTTACAATTCAATCACAATGTAAAAAATGCAAAAGAGTATCATCATCTATCATCAATATCGCAAATATTTGGAGTGGAAATAGTGAATTAGATGAATTTCTCCTTAATTTACTCCCTGACATTCAAAATATTTATAAAGTAGATGAGTTTATGGATAAAATAAAAAATACTGACTATTTTCTTCCATCAGAAATAAATTCAACTATTGACCGAAGTTATAATACTCAACAACCAGAAAAGTTGATGGGATGGATACCATATATTCAATTTGAAGATGTAAAAAAAGTAGCGGAGGGAGGATTTAGTATTATATACCAAGCAACTTGGTGTGGCAGAAGTTATAATGGGGAAGCAGTCGTTTTAAAAAAGTTTAAAAATTCTCAAGACTTTAGCAAATATTTTTTAAAGGAGGTAAACATTATTTTAATCGTAAATATTCGTATATTTATTTATTAAAATTATATAACTTAAAAAATACTTAATCATGAAATTTTAGCTAAAGTCGAATCAACATTGTTATGAAATTAAATATCATATTATTAGAATTTATGGAGTTACGAAAGATAAATTAGGTGATTATATGTTAGTTATGCAATATGCATCAGGAGGAGATTTACATAACTGGTTGCAAAAGAATTTTAGAGGAATTACGTGGAATAAACAAAAATTAGCTATTTTGTGGCAAATTTCTGAAGGGTAATTAGATAAATATATTATTAATATTATAAATTCCAATTTATTAATTTTATTTTTTTTATTTCAGACTCGAAACTATTCATAATTCAGATTTTATACATCGAGATTTTCATAGTGGAAACATATTATCCAGGTTATCAGGCATGAACCAATTACGACGACGAGGAGAAGAATCATCAATTAAAAAAAGACATCAATGGCAAATTGGAGATCTAGGATTATCACAACCTTCAAATAATACGTCATCAAATAATGAAATATATGGGGTGATACCTTATATTGCACCAGAAATATTTAGAGGGTCTGGATTTTCTAAAGAATCTGATGTTTATTGTATGGGTATGATTATGTGGGAGCTTACAACAGGTTGTAAACCTTTTGCTAATGATGAACATGAAATTGAGCTTGCTTTTAAAATTCTTGATGGGGAACGACCTAAAATTACGGAAAATACACCAGAATGCTATGCTAGTTTAATGAAAAGTTGTTGGGATCCTGATCCTAAAAAAAGACCTTCTATGACAGAAATTCGTAAAACCTTTGGTAAATGGTTTTTTAAAAATAAAAATATTGAACCTTTTAATCAAGCTGAATCGAAAAGATTAGAATTAATAAGTTTAAAGAAACTTGGACCCGAGTTTAGTGAAAAACCTCATCCAAGTGCTATTTATACAAGTAGATCATTGAAGTCTTTCATTTCTAAATGCTCGTCTAAATATTCTTCAAAAGGTATGTGGTGTACTAAAAAATAAGATAGATAAATATTATTGACCAAATCTTTGGATAAATATGTTAAATTTCTTTTTATAGATTATGCTTCGCTAGAATTTGATTTTGACATAGATCTAGTTGAAAGGTATTTTAAAGTAAAATATTTTCGCTATCCTTACGAAATCTAAATTTAAAAATCATTTACTCAATACAATTTTATACACTAGTAAGTCAAATTTACTCGGAATTAAGCGAAATATTGAAGAATCAAATATTAATACTAGTAGAAATAATGGTAAAATATTTGTTTAATTCAATCTAATCTATTTATATAATTTATATTCATTTGTAATTTATTTTTTCAATTAAAAATACTAGGAAAACATATTAAAATTAGCCCCAGTCATTCAAGTATTTCTTTCGCGGACTATTAAGAGGAAAATAGCAATAATTAAGCTAGGAAACGGAAACCGTTTAAGTCCTTCGCTTCGCAAGTGTTACGTGTCATTTATTTATTTGACATATTTCAGGGTTCAAATAGGTAGTGTTACATAAATCGTGATACATATTCAAAAAAAGGAAATAAAATTATTGATTGTGACAGGGACAAAAACGGGGTTAAAACAAATTTTGCTAGTTCAGCTAACACTTCGGACAATAAGATTCTATAAAAAGAATAGAATAATTTTTGCGCATTATACATTTGTTTAATAAATAAATAGTCTTAGCTTATAGTATATTTAAAATATTTTTTTACAACGTAAATATGATTAAATAAACTTTTATATTAAACTATTAATATATCGTAGCTAAAATCATAAACTGCAAAATCAATTTGTCAGAGTTTTAAAACTTATTTAGTTCATAGAATTTTAGAATTTACCTTTATGATCCTTTATGAAGAGAAAAAAGCAAAAATAAAAAAAAAGATTGTTTAAAAGAAAATAAAACTAGAAGTAATACACGTACCCACAATAAATTACTGGATTCATTAAAAATGCTTGGTAATTTTCATTCATGAAAGTTTATAAATTCCTGATGAAAATCACTCAAATTTTTTTTTATTTGAAATCTAGATTTTAAATTTCAAATAAAAAAGATATTTTAATTTTTAAAGTATGAAAAGAATTGTCTAATTGTTAATTATAGCAACTTTTTAGAATTCTTTTATATATTTATTTACAAATAATCAACTTTATGAATTTCAAATATATAACATTTTTAATTACATTTTTAAAAAACTACAGTTGATTAGCTTTTATATACTAGATAACGGTGACCGTTAAACGTCCGAATCGGACGTTGTAATGCCGTAGTATACCTAGTAAATTTATTAATTGTAAGGCGCAGTATTACATTTAGTCTTAGTGTATAAAAATTTTAACTTATTTTTATTTTTTAATTGGACCGAAAAGTCGTTAAACTATTAATCATGAGAATCAAGGATAATTGGTCCGTGATGACCATAAACTATTAGTCACGAGATTTAAGGATAAATGAAGATCCGAAAGATACTAAATTGAATGAAATCAAGTGATCTGAGTTGTCAAGTGATTAATTTGTTGATCACTACGTTAATATTATAAATCATAATTCAGGAGTTCATGATGATCAAATGGATACAAAATTAAGATAATGGAAATACTTTAAAACAATGGAAATACTTTAAAAACAATGGAAATACTTTAATAATTTAAATCCATGAATTGAAATTATGAATTTAGTTACACAAAAACAAACATAAAAGGGCGTGAAGATCACCTTTTGGAAAGGACAGAGAGAGAAAACTAGACGAATTTTGTTATGAATTATTTATTTTGTTATTTAATGTTATTAAACCAAGCATATTATTGTATTTATTTATATTATTAATAAAGAGTCATTTTGTTAATACCTGAGGTGGCAAACATAATTCTCTATGGGCTCAGGTGTTACAAGTGGTGCATGCTCCGAGAAAGGAAAAGTGATCATCCTCACATGATCACTACAGGTTATAAGTATAGGATCTCTGTGAAAAGAAAATGATCACCCCCACGTGATCATTAGAAGTTACAAATAAAGGATCGACGAAGTTAAGGAATTATAAAATTAAAAGTTCTAAGTCTTGGTTAAAAAAAGAATTTAAGG